TATATAAATGTTGAGAGTTAAAAAATTGAAGTTCATGAAACGTAAATGTCAGCAGCAATGTGAGTTTGGACAGAATACTGAGACTAACACAGAAAGCACTGAAATTTATAGTGTTCTTTCTGATGTTATCAGGAAAATGGAAGAAATTGGTCGTATGTACGACTTTTGTGCATTAATCAAAAACATCAGAACATGCAAACATTGCACATCACTTATTGCTTGATATCGGCCAGTTCTATAAACAAAGGACGGTTTATTACATGAGATATGTGATATGTCACTGTCATTTTAGGTAACAGTTGCAAAACTTTTGAAGAGCGAGGTCTTTTATTCAGAGGAGGACTAGGACTTACAATGTAGTGATGGTCGCAACATTAATATAATTTCTGAAGAATGCAAAATAAACTTCATATCGCAATTAATCATAATTATTTTTACATGAATAATGTATATAATAATACAGAAAATAAAACAATAAGGTCGATGACAAGTGTATCTTTTTTTTCAAGATTTTTCATAAATACGTTGCTTAACATTCTTAATCAACCGTGGTTTCTCTTATCAATAAGTATTAAATCAATTATATTTAAAACCTTTCAGTTCTTTTTCATGACCTCCATACTAATTAGTTTATAGATCTTGTATAGTGTAATCTGTATTGAACATCTAGTACTGATATTGAATAAGATATTTTCGTCTCAATTGATTTTGTACATATACTATATATACATATATATATATACATAATACGGTCATCTGTATTATTATATTACGGTCGTCATCTGTGTGATTATTATGGTCATCATTGTCAAAAACTTTGAGGTCGTACTACAGTTTTATTTCTTTTAATTCAAGTAAATTATAGTAACCAATAGCAAGTTCTCATTAGCGTACATTTAAATTTGGCAAGAATTAACACAGATAACCTGGCAAATGTTTAAAATCTTGACTAAAAAATTCTAACCGGAGACCTCGGCCAACATGTTTTGATGACCGTAGTATATACTACGGTCAACCGCTTTCCTACAGTGGTCTCTGGCCTGGTCTTCCAAATGCGTAAACACAAGACCGAATTTCTGTTAATCGGTTCTTTCACGAAATGCAAACGCTACTTCTAGATCATCAATCCAGTCATCAATTGACAAATCATTTTCAGTTTTACGGCGACCAGAAAATGTATTAATCTTGCGACTGTTAGAAATAAGTGTTTGTTTTCAATAACTTTTGGTTAAGAAAATGTTTTTCTTCTAAAAGATCTTGTTCTAATCCATGGATACGGTTTTGAAGATCTATTTAATTCATTTTCAGATTTTAGATTCTAAGTTCACGTTTAACATTTTCCGTTCCGATGAATACATTTCACTAAACAAAGCCCAGGTAACTCGAACACTCTGTCGAAGAGTAGAATTCAAAATACACACGCATCAGTGGAATATAAGTTCCATAATCAATGCCTTGGTGTTGTGTCTCGCAGCACCATGATGAAACCGAGCAGTAAGGCAGATGTAATGTTATCATTATTTATTCACGAAATAAAGGCACTGATCTAAAATAAACAAAGTATACAATAAGTCAAAAATACAGAAATTGTAAAAATAACATCTGAGATAATTTACCTACAGTAAACTTAAAGAAAAAATGAACTCTATGAAAAAATGTGTACTGCAAACATTTCAAATTGAAAAACTCATTACTATTTCAGTTACAACTTTGATATCATAGAATAAAAATTTACTCAGGTAACTCAATCCAGATGCGCAATAGAACCTTTGGTTGATCAAATTTAAGATTTTATTACTCAAAGCGATGTGAAGAAATAAATAAAAACGAATAAATACACATAGAAATATATTTCAAAATATCACAAAAATATGCATAATATAACATGACTTTTGTAGTAAACTAGGGTATTCTTGACATTTGTCTACAGTTAGCAAATTGGAATTTTTGACGTTAGACCTCTGTAAAAAGGCTGTACGGGAGGACTGGAAGAAGATTATGGACGAAAACTTTATCCGGACTATTAAGACCATGATTGCGAATGACCAATGTCACACTATATCTCATAAATACCTGCATTTGTTGGTTTAAAAACAAAGAAAAAGAATATGTTTTACTTGTTTTATAGAGTTTACAAAAAATAGTTCATGGATGCTGAGTAGATAAGGTAACTCAGGCTGTACAGGATCGAATTCTGGTGAACATTTCGAGAAAATTACAGCTAATATCTTTTTTTATAATGCCTATTAGGTCGCAGATTTTGCTGCTCCGTGACTTAATCTGTCCATATAAATCAGCCAAAATTGATATCAATTTACAACACTTTGATATGAAATTTTGAAAACCATACAAGTGAAGATTCTTTTAGATTATTTTTAACATTTTGCCTGAGTATGTCGTCAAATATTTTTTCTGTGCAACAAGTCCGCGTAATTTTTTAAAAAGGCCCTCGTATAATCAAAATTATTACATTATTTAAAAAAAACATATCCATGTCTTATTGCATACTATTATAGAAATGTTTTGTAACTATGTAATCTTAATTCAATACCACAAACTATCTGTTACCTTGTACTCTTAAGGGCCTTTCACAATTGGCGCACGAGCAGAAGCGACAAAATATTCGTGCGACCGAAAAATTTTATTAGAATCGTAAACTGTTGCTGAAATAATCGCATATGAAAAAAAGTATTCGTACGAAATTCGCACGATCTAAAGCGACCGTTGTGAATTAAATCTTAAGATATATCTTGCGTCTATAAGCGACTGTTGTACAATGAAAGCGAGTGTTGTAAGATAATGCTAAAGTATCGTGCGAGTTATCAGGTGATCGGACGATTGAACGTACACTAATGTGATTGGACGTAAAGCGCTCGTGCAATCATGCGATTCATAGTACGACTGATCGTGCGGGTGAGAAGAAGAATATATATATACTACCCGTTTCTGACCCTCATCAATCAAATGCAAGAGATGCCGCCCAAAAAGACGACAAAATCTACAAAAAAGGCTAAAGTAAGCCGTAGAAAGAAGGCCCAGGGGGAGGAGGAGGTCCAGGACCTGCCGCAGCAGCCGAGCCCTGTTCATCCTGAGCTTGTCGACGAGGGGGAAGAGCCACCAGACCACCCAATTGAACCTTTACAACCCGATGGGTACAGTGAGGATGAGGACGAGGAAGATCCTTACAAGCATAAATCCTTAGACCTAACTCCAGAGCAGGAACAAGAGTTAGCAGACTTTTTCGAAGAAAACCCCTGCTTCTATGATAAAAGTCGGAGTGACTTTAAAAACACCAAGAAAAAAGATCGCCTGATTCAAGAAAAGGCAGCAGCTATGAATTTGACTGGTGCGTGAATCAAAATTATATTATTAAACATTCTAATTGATATATTTTGATATATTTAATTTATTTTTGAATATTTTAAATTCTTAATCATAACAAACTGGCATTTGTTTCTTTTCAGTATCAGACATCCGGCTCTGGTATAGATCCCAGCGGACCATCCTGGGCAAGGTCCAGAAAAAGAAGAGTGGCCAGAAAAGGTGCAACCTCACAGCCAGGCAGAAGTGGGTGGAAACAAACTTAGGCTTCCTGAGAAGACACATAGTGCACCGGCCACAGGGATCCCAGCTCGAACAAGTACCAGCTGATGAAGAGGACGAGGATAGTGAGCCCTCCTCCTCGGTTACACAAGCACCCACCAGAAAGAAGCAGAAAAAGAAGAACTTGGATACAGCAATCATTGACCTGCTGGAGAGGACTGACAGGCAGACGGTTGACCTGACTGCAAAAGTCGACGCAGCAATGAGTCACAGCAGCGACGAGAAGCAGGCTTGGGTGAACTGGATGTTGCAAGCCCTCCAACCCCTTCCTCGACATCTCTGGCGGGACTTCACGAAAGAGGCGTTTGCTCTCGTCAGCAAGTACCAGGACAGGGCGGAGAATGAGCAGCGGGAGCACTTTGCACTGCAGCCTCTGCAACAACCACACAGATCAGCGACCCCCCAGATGGTTCCGGTCAGACCAGCGTCAGTGCCCGCCCAATGGCCTCAAGACCTCACACAGATGCAGCCTCAGCCCCAGCCCCAGATGTACAACCAGATTTATCCACAGCCTTCAGATGTTCTGGCCGCCGCCGCCCGTACCCTGAATGAGTGATAAGAGTAGTCTAAGCAGCAGCAGAAGATTCTGATTTTGTATATGAATGTAACATTAATAATGATGTTGTAATTTTTTTCTGCATAAAGATGTAACTAATAAAAGATTCAACATGTCACATTTTTAAATAATTTTGTTTGTAGTCTCGCCTCTCATTGGTTGGATTCTATAAAGGGACGCAAATTATTTTGTATAATTTGATTTGGTATAGATCTTATCCATTTAATCCCCTCATTTCCAGTCCTCGGAATGCATTGAAAATTCCAGATTTAATTAATGTAATTAGGGAGAGGGCGTAATAAGTTTTTAGAACGTTTGCCCAATCCCAATTGTAAAGTATAAGCAATAAAATATGTTCAAATCAATTAATGTACCTTTAACTTCAAATAGTTACTCTTTTTACTTTAATAAACAAACATCATGGCTGCTAGACCTATGCATCAGTTATTACCTCCCCTCGCTTCAAAGAGCAACACCATTTTACATCCAAAGTTGATTAATTATTTTAAATTATTATATAAGGAATTACTCTAATTCTTGGCCATATTATCGAGTATAATCTGGTTTGGGCCAGTTTACGCTTTATAATCCGTTCGAAGCGAATTATAGAGCATAAACCGACCCAAACCTGATTTTACTCGATAATATGGCCAAGAATTAAAGCGATTCCTTAAACAATTTAATTCTGGTTGTAATTAACATTTTGATTGGTTAAAAAAATAGCTTATACTGTATAATCCGGTTGCCAACGTCACTATATCTCATCTATACTGTTCAAGAAAATCAAAAGTATTTTTTATTGATATACAAATTTACATCTTTACTTGATCAATATCACAGTCTATATCATATTATGCTGCCACGGCAAGCTCCCAACGTTGCTGTTGTAGTAATGTTTCAGGTAGGTTCGGATTCTCTTGCCATCCCGATTTGGCAAGTTTCCTCTGCCAACTGCTTCCACATCTTGTAGAACTCGGTCGTTTCTCCATGCTCCGGGGATGTTGTTTCCAGCTTCATCTTCCTGATCCAGGTCGTTGTTCTGCAAGCCAGGATAGCGGAGTCTCGTCAGGTTGTGCAGGCATATGGCAGCCATGACGATGATCTTGGCTCGGTCTGGATCCTGCTGCATCGTACCCAGCATGCATCTCCAGCGGTGTGCAAGGATGCCAAAGGTGTTCTCCACCACACGACGAGCCCTGGACAGACGATAATTGAAGATCCTTTCTTCGTTAGTCATGTTGCGGTTGGAGTAGGGCTTCATCATCCAGGACCTGAGGGGAAATGCGTCGTCTCCTACCAAAAAGTACGGGATAGGCCTGTCATCATGTGGCAGGGGCTCTGGATCTGGCAGGCCAAGAGTGTCATTTTCCAGTCCATTTCTCAGTGGGCCATGGTTGAAGATCTGGGCGTCTGATGAGGAGCCCTGAGTACCAACGTCGGCCCAGATAAACTTGTAATCGGCGTCGACTAAGGCCAGAAGGAGGATGCTGAAAAATCCTTTGTAGTTGTAGTAGAGGGTGCCAGACGGACGTGGGTTTCTTATGGCAACATGTTTTCCGTCCAGGGCTCCGCATGTGTGGTGGAAATTCCATTTTTCACTATATTTCTTTGCCACTTCTCGCCACTCATCTGGGTTAGTTGGAAAGGCAAACACTTCCTCTTTATACTCGTCAATGATGGCCTGGCACACCTCTGGGATGAACATTGATATGGTGTTGTGCGCTACACGGAAGGAATACTGGAGGTTCTTGTAGCTGTTTCCTGTCACTATATACCTGATAGTAATTGCCAGCTTTAGTCCAGGTTCTAGTGGCCGTCTGTAACGTTCACTTTTCTGAATTCTTGGAGTAATGCGCTGCAGTAGCTCGTAAAACATAACTGGTGGCATTCTCATATAGTTCAAAAAGTCCCCCTGGCTTTCTCTCTCTATCTCCCTCATCAATGTTTCATACTGGCCAAATAACATGCGCCTCTCAATCCATGGCTTAACCCACCAACGTCTTTTATGTCTTCTTTGTCTTTGTAGACGACGAAGAAGTAACGCCTGCACAACCATATGTCTTTGCTGGAGCACCTGGAGTTGTATTCGGAGATTCAGTATACCAAGCAGACGGCGAGGAGGTATTGGTGAAGCAGCATCCATGGTCAATTGTGGTCTGAAACAGAAATGCTTATACAGGGTTTACATATACTCATGGCAAAGCACGGGGAAATCGTGCATAGTAAACCGTTGCAAGATTACATGAGACACGTTGAGCAACAGTCTCATGGTCGCACAACGCACGCATTTCCAGCTGCGATTCATCTTACGACCTTTATAAATCGTGCATCACTCTTGCGAGTACACAAAACGTTGTAAGACGCTCGTACTAATATTCGTGCGTTGAATTGCGATAAATGTGGATCGCATTTGGTCGCGTCTGAATAGTGTGCAGGTCGACTATTTTGAGGAGACTTGATGCGACCACTAAAACGCATGCAACTAATGCGAAACATCGTGCAACGTATGCGAGAGCTCGGCGAGAGATCGTGCGAAGCTAAAATTTTCCGATCGCAAAGTGTTGTAAAGTGCTCGTGCGCCAATTGTGAAAGGGCCTTTAAGTACTATAACACAAGCATTCTCTAACCATGCCCTATTGCATATACATACCATAACACGAACAATTTCCAATAGCTTATATTTTGAAATTAATAAGCTAAATAATATATTGATTTAACCTTTTCTTTTTGTCTCATTGTAGTTAAAGAAAATAAAAAAAATGAGAATACCGAACAAGGACTCAATTCTACTGAAAAAGATACTGGATCAGTTCCTCATTCTTCCTGTCAAAGTGGAAAGACAAAATATCCTGAAGTGAAGGGTGTCCCTGATATTGAAACTAAATTGGAAAATGCAAGAAAACTGCATACTGCATGTGGTAATGCTCAATACGAAGTGTGTCAATATATACTCTCGCAGTCTCTCAATTTAATAGAGGTTTTGGCTACAAATGGATGGAATACACCACATTGTGCAGCAAAAGGAGGCGATGTTCGAATTTTAAAGCTTTTGGCAGAGAAAGGTCTTCCTGTAACTGAAACCACAAAAAACAATGAAACAATTCTGCATATTGCATGTTTACATGCTAAATACGAAATGTGTCAATACATACTCTCACAGTTTCCTAATTTGCTAAATGTTGTGGATATATATGGATGGAATGAAGCACATTTTGCAGCTCGAGGAGGCGATGTCCGAATTTTGCAGCTTATGGCAGATGAAGGTCTTCCTGTAACTAAAACCACAAAGACCAATGAAACAATATTGCATATTGCGTGTTTATATGCAAAATACGAAATGTGTCAATATATACTTTCACAGTATCCTTATATGCTGAAAGTTGTGGATGCAAATGAAAGGAATGCTGCACATTGTGCAGCAGTAGGAGGGGATATTCGAATTTTACAGCTTTTGGCAAACAAAAGCTTTCCTGTTACTGCAATCACGAAGACCAAATACACAATTCTGCATATTGCCTGTTTACACGCTAAATACCAATTGTGTCAATATATTTTGTCACAATATTCTAACATACTAGAGGTTGTGGATACAAATGGATGGAATGCAGCACATTGTGCAGCTCAAGGAGGCCATGTTCGAATTTTACAGCTTTTGGTAGACAACGGCCTTTCTGTAAGCGAAACTACAAAACACAATTTAACAGTACTGCATATTGCCTGTTTGAGTGCCAAATACGAGATGTGTGAATACATACTTTCACAGTATCCTAGTTTGCTTAACATCATCGATAAAACTGGAAGGAATGCAGCACATTTTGCAGCTCAAGGAGGCGATATTCGAATTTTACAACTTCTGACAGACAAAGGTCTTACTGGAACTGAAAGCATAAGAAACAATTCAACAGTACTGCATATTGCATGTGGTGATGCTAAATACGAGATGTGTGAATATATACTCTCATTGTATCCTAATCTGCTAAAAGAAGTGGATGGAAATGGATGGAATGCAGCACATTACGCAGCTCAAGGAGGCGATGTTCGAATTTTAAAGCTTTTAAAGGACAAATGTCTTCCAGTGACCATATCAGCAACAGACAACATCAACATACTGCATATTGCATGTGTACATGCTAAATACGAAATGTGTCAATATATACTCTCACAGTATCCTAATATGCTAAATGATGCGGATAAAAATGGATGGAATGCAGCACATTTTGCAGCAAAGGGAGGCAATGTTAACATTTTCAAGCTTTTGGAAGAGAACGATCTTCGGATAACTGGAGGGAGAAGGCAGTATGGAACAATTCTACATATTGCATGTCAAAATGCTAAATATCAAATGTGTAAATATATACTCTCACAGTATTCTTTTTTGCTAAATGCTGAGAATACAAGTGGATGGAATGCAGCACATTGTGCAGCTCAAGGAGGCGATGTTCGCATTTTACAGTTTCTGATCGACAAAGGTGTTAAGATATCGCAAACATCAGATAATTATGTCACAATATTGCATATTGCATGTTTTCATGCTAAATACGAGATGTGTCAATATATACTGTCACAATATCCTGATCTTCTCAATTTTGTTGAAGAAAATGGATGGAGTGCAGCGCATTGTGCAGCAATGGCAGGCGATGTTAACATTTTAAAGCTTTTGGCAGACAATGGCCTTCCTGTAACTGAAACCAGAGAATACACTGCAAACATACTGCATATGGCATGTGGTTATGCTAAATACGAAATGTGTCAATATATACTATCGCAGTATCCTAATATGCTAAAAGATGTGGATGGAAATGGATGGAATGCAGCACATTACGCAGCTCAAGGAGGCGATGTTAACATTTTACAGATTTTGGCAGACAAAGGTCTTTCTGTAACTGAAACCACAAAAAACAATGAAACAATTTTACATATTGCATGTTTACATGCTAAATACGAGATGAGTCAATATATAATGTCACGTTATCCCAGAATTTTAAATTATGTCGATAATACGGGAAGACATGCTGCACACTGTGCTCTACAAGGAGGAGATGTACATATATTACAGCTTCTAAAGGAAAGAAGAGTACATGTCAATTTCAAGTGATGACGAATAGTGGATCATATTACAATATAAGTTTGATTTTCTATCATTCTTCACTGTCACAGTTAAAGTGATATGTTACATTGAGTGAATAAATATGAAATACTATCTTTGTAATACACAAGAAATAAACTGACAATGCTCCATTTTTTTAACATCCAGCATTTACATCGAAAAAAAAGTCAGTAATTTTACTTGTGAATTTCACATTGTTGCACATTTTTATATGACTGCTTCATGAGAAAGAAGATACAGTTTCAATGCTAGTTAAGCCCTATATTTTTCTAAAATATGAAAGTGATATAAGACATTAAAATTCATTCTTCCTGAACTACAATGATCCCATTCAGTAAGAATATATAAATAGTTTGTAAATAGTAAATGTGACGTCATGAACTCGTGCATTTTCCCGTATTTTCTCAAAAAGTTGCAGAAGACATCAATTTTCAGTGGAATTTTCTTTCAAAAATCATACTCTGCCACCGTCGCCCACAAAGATGTTGAGATATGTGATTTTTCAAAGCAGTTTACATAATATATCAAAAAATTGTAATGGGCGACGGTGGCAGAGACTATTTTCTAAGGTAAATTAGGCACAAAAATGAGTCTTTCTGAGGCTTTTCCGCATTAAACTTAGAAATGTTACAAATTAATGACGTCACATTTCCAGAGCGGTCTCTCTTCATGCCATATTTTCAATGATTTATTATATTCACCTACTCAATTCTTATAAAAGCCAATATCATAACTTTTTAAGAACATTCAATTTTTTGAGCGCAATGAAGCCCAAACTGTACCTTCTTCTTGGCAAGAAGATCAAGCCTTTTCGTGAAATATTGAAAGATGATGTGAATGAATAGTGTATGAGTACTAACATTTTTGTAACGTAAAGAGAAATTTGTAAAGCCTCTGGATTACAAATGCCTATGCAACGTAGGTAAATATAAAATTTTAAGCACATTCATTATTGCGTATAAAATGGGGACATTCGACTGTAAACAGTATGGGGAAAGTAAAGTGAGAGGGACTAGAAACAGTATGGGAAAAGTAGAGTGAGAGAGTTTGATCACAGTATGGGGAAAGTAGAGTGAGAGAGTCTAGAAACAGTTCCCAACACAGTAGAATTTTCTCTGACACAGTAACGATTCAAAATTTATGCGTGCGACACAGTTAAAATTTTGCCGTCACAGTAAGATTTGTGATAATCAGAAAATCTAAACATATAATTCTCTCTATCTGAAACTTGTTTCTAGTAATCAAACAATTCTATCGTCTTTCAATTCCTAAAGGTATTTTAAGCACTTACTTAGGGCTTCGCTTTGCATAATCAATTATCTCCTAGACCCTAGACGGACTTTACGCATGAAGGAACAAATAATTTGTTTCTTCACTTCCATTTTACGGTTAATTGGTAGTTGCAATAAAATATAATTGTGTTACTTTAAAAAAAATTCTATAGAGCCACAGCTCTAAAATTATGTTGGCACTGTAAATCAAACACAACATAGCACAGAAATCATTTACTGTTGATTGGCAAATATTCACGATAGTTTTAATTTCGCTATGTTTGCAATTTATTAACTTTCCGCAAAATTTACCCAATCGTAAATGTTATTTGTTTTTAAAGCTTTTAAATTCTTACACGAAATTTTGAATCAATTTCTAGCAGCGTGAAATAAAACCATAGCAATTGGTAATTTTTGAGATACCGTGAAATTTTAATACCATGGAATTAAAACCACTTACAGTAACTGATTTAAATAAATTGTTTTAAATTTTCAAGGAATTCTAGAGAGTAACTTACTATTCGGAAGTTTCTTTCTTTTCTTTTTTTTGTAATTCGATCAAGAGAACAAAAAAAAATCACGGCAAATTTACTTTCAAAATAAAGTAGTTAGTAAGTAGAAAGGATTTCTTCTGCTTTTCAGAAGATGTGCTTTTACTATTATCAAAATGTACGGCCATACCATTTATGTAACGAATTAGAAAAGTGTGTTCATGTATTCTTTGGTAATCATATTGAAAAGAGATTAGGTTGCGAAATTGATCACGAAAATATAGCGAAATTTTAGTGTTTCGCATAAACTCTGCAACACTTAAAATTTCAAACGATGGAGAACCCTGAAACAGTATGGGGAAAGTAAAGTAAGAGAGTCTAGAAACAGAAGGGAAAAGTAAAGTGAGAGAGTCTAGAAACAGTATGTAAAAGGGAAATGGGAGAGCTGAAAACAGTATGGGAAAGTAAAGTTTGGTGAGATTGAAAACAGAGTGGGGAAAGTAAAATGAGAGAGTCTAGAAACATTATGGGGAAAGTTCAGTGAGAGAATCTAGAATCACTATGGGGAAAGTAAAGTGATTGAGACTGAAAACAGAATGGGGCATATTTAGTGAGAGAATCTAGAAACAGTATGGGGAAAATAAAGTGAGAGAGACTTAAAACAATATTTGGGAAGTAAAGTACGAGAGCCCAGAAACAGTTTGGGGAAAGTTCAGTGAGAGAGTCTAGAAAAAGTATGGGGAAAGTAAAGTTAGATGAAGCTGGGTCATGTCTCGCCAATACCTGTTCTGCCTAGGTCATCTCTCTCCTAGTCCCTTTCCCTCCCTTTCCTAGGTCATTTCTCTCCACAACCTAGGTTACTGCACTCCAGTATGAAAATTATTGTATTTTTTTTTAAGTTTTATAAAATACCATTATTATTGAACTTAACATTAAGTTCATTAATTTTATTTTATTTATTCATTTATTAAATCACATAATTATAATTTATTTATTTATGAGTTCACACATTTAATGTTTATTAATTTCATTCATGATTTATTCATTTATGATTTCACCGATTTATTTGTAAATTATTCATTCATTTTCCTTTAAAAATCATTTAATAGTTTATTTCATTCCGTAATTTGTTAGTCTTAATAAATTGGTTAATTAATTTACACAATCTTGAACTAGGTCTTTGAAAAGGGCATAGAATATTATTTATTAATTCATTTATTTTTTAATTCATTCATTCTTGCTTGCTTGCTTTCTTTCTTATGGAATATGAAATAACTTTAAATGCCATTATAAAAATATTCTTTTGAATTTTTTTTTAAAACAATTTAATTCATTATCAAGTAGTTTTCAAGTAAATGTGTTTATTGTCCTGTCATCTTTTGTTTACGGGCTTTAGCATGAATTAATATATACTTGCTAAAACTTGCAATCGCTCTTTGCGGTTTTATAGTACCCTACACTTTTTTTTTCTTATCAACATGCTGGGTACATATGTTTATCCGTAAATTGTCGACTTCACAAATTGACAACACAATATCTCCTTTAGACAGAAAATTAAAACTTGTACAAAGATGTGTTCAGCCAGATTATTATTTAGATAAGAATTTTAAGGTCTTTCCACCTTTCCGTGGAAAGACCTATTGAAATTGTTCTGTTTATTAGGTCTTTCCACCTTTCTGTGGAAAGACCTCTTGAAATGCTTATGTTTTTAGGTCTTTCCACCTTTCTGTGGAAAGACCTATTGATATTGTTCTGTTTATTATTAGGTCTTTCCACCTTTCTGTGGAAAGACCTCTTGAAATTGTTCTGTTTATTATTAGGTCTTTCCACCTTTCTGTGGAAAGACCTATTGAAATTGTTCTGTTTATTATTAGTTCTTTCCACCTTTCTGTGGAAAGACCTATTGAAATTGTTCTGTTTATTATTAGGTCTTTCCACCTTTTTGTGGAAAGACCTCTTGAAATGCTTCTGTTTTTTATTATTTTATTTTTCACCTTATGTTTTGACACCGTAAGACTATTCGAAAAACTTTATAGTTCATGATATTTAAAGTTATTCCGAAAAATGACCCCCCATGTTTTAACTTAGACCCCTTATGCAGTTATTGCCCCTTTCACCGTAAAGCTTGTTATCGCTACTCCTTTGAAACCGTAAATCGTAGAGATGCAGAACCTTCACTAACGTCTTCAACTAATTTAGGAAACTTTTCAATCTATTCATTGCAAAAGATTTCTTTGACCCCTTCAATGAGTAACTGCTCCTGAAAGTTTATAAATTTTATAAAAAACTTAAAATTTTCAAAACGAAAGGTCGTATAGACATGAATCCAACTGCATAAGTTTTATTGACCTTTGACCTTTAAATTCATTTCAAGGTCAAAGGTCAAGGCCATTCCAAATATGAGGAATAAATTTCTTTTAATAGCTCTTATATCCTTAAACATATACAATGTATCTTCTGTCTGTGATATGCACTTTTAATACCCTTTCAAAGATTTTATTCTTGTCCCCTAAGATTGACCCTTTTAAAAGTTATTGCCCCTTATGCGAAAAACATTATTATCGCTACTCCTCAGAAACCACAGACCGTAGAGATACCAAACCTTCACTTATGTCTTAAGGGTCTTCAGGCCTAACTTCTCTGTATAAGTGCGAAAGGATCTGCTGGCCCCTTATATGAATTATTGCCCATTAACGTCTTTGTACTTACTATAAAACATTATAACTTGAAAAGTATATGTCGTAGAGGCAGGGAATCAATTCATTGTGACCCTTGACCTTTGACCTTGAAAATTTTTTTTGACGTCAAAGGTCAAGGTCATCTCAATTTTTTTATTCTTATTTTTTTTTATTTATCATTTCAAGACAATTTATGTTTCTTATTAATGGAATTTAATTTTAAGGAGTCAGATATAAAACAAAATTAAAACTCAATGAAGATGGAAAGACCTTTTATTGTTCTTTGAACAATAAGTCTCCTAGTTATTATTATTTTTATTAGGTCTTTCCACCTTTCTGTGGAAAGACCTCTTGAAATGCTTGTTTTTTTATTTTATTTCTCACCTTATGTTTTGACACGGTAAGACTTATCCAAAAAACTTTATAGTTCTTGATACTGGATATTAAAATTTATTCCGAAAAATGACCCCCCATGTTTTTACTTAGACCCCTTATGCAGTTATTGCCCCTTTCACCGTAAAGCTTGTTATCGCTACTCCTCAGAAACC